ACAAACTGAGCCATGTTCTTGCCTCTTTGGTTTTTAAACTGTGACAAAAAACTACGAATTATCTACCAAGAAAAAAGTATTTCAGAAATAACAAGTCAGAATAATCTCTGTCACATTTGTATTCATATGACACTGGAGGTGGAGAAGACACGTCCCCCTCTCAGTTCAAATCAGTTTTTAGTTTTGTATTCCTTAGTGCTTCCTTAGGCTACATAGTTTTCCACACTTTTGACACACATTGACACCTGAGAGAGGTTGTGGGCTAAAAAAAGTACTGTCACCTTCTCTGCATGTCTCGGTTTATTTACAGTTGATATTCTCCTAAAAAAGAATGTTGTGAAAGCTAGGACAGAAAACTCAAAACTAATGGTGCAAATAAAACATAATCCATGTCATTATTCAGGTAAACATTTATGTATATGTTTTTCTACAGTATATAATATCCTATGCCCTTGCTAGTTCAGGCATGAATGGATGCATGATTGTTACGAATCCTTTTCTTCATGTGTCTCGGATAAGTTTTGTCTTCTTTAAAATAAAAACTTTGCAAACCAATAAATTATAGAGTAGTGCAGTGATGACGTTTTTTTGTAGGCTGACCTGGATGTTAGCATCGAAAGGGCTAACTCAACAAAAAGCAATGGGATTTTCCCATTGTACGTTGGAACATTGCAGAAAATAAGCTCTGTGGCTAACAAATGTTTATTACATGTTATGTTAGGCAGGATAATCTCCACATAGTAACACCACTTGATGATTTTTGAAGCTTAAATCGAATGCTTATTTCAAGGATCCAGCCAAAAACCGTTGATTTTGAGATAAGGTAATCGCAAATTGTAAAAAAATTGCATTTGTATTTCAATGATAAAGCTGCAATTATCATGTGAATTGTATTATGAACAATGGATTACAGTATGTTTGAGCCACAGCGGCCCCTTTACATGGCTTTTGTTTTCCAACTGATGAATGTATACTGTTCGGTCTCAGTGCTCTCATTAGCTTTGTTTCTATTAGCATCACTAGCAGCTGACTATAAAAGCTCTGCTGAGCAGCAGGCAGACACAATCAGAGACTCTCTGGGGAGCATTTCTCAGCTGAAGAGACAGATATTTAACTCAGGACGGAAGATAAACGCAGGGACAGATGCCTCCAAAACATTTCTGATGCTGGAGGTGTAACTGTTCTGCTTCCCACAAGTGGTCAAATATGTGATACAGCTTTAAAACTGGCATAGTGACTCCACGATAGGAAATGAAATACTTTACTTCAACATTTAAGTTTCAGTTTGAAATTCTTGAGTCTGGTGGAAACCAGTGTTAGGCTAAAAAAAGGATTTTAATATCACCTGTAGTGAAAAAAAAGACCTGCTTTTTTTTTCTTTTTTCGTTATGCCAGTTTTCCATCTCCTCTAATGTGTTCTATAGGTTTTAGTGCATGTAAATGGTCTGCAAAGGCCACAATCCCTGTGTTCCCTGCAGAGGGAGTTTATCTCCCACACACAACATTAAAGCATGTGAATGACATGTTTACATGCTTTAATGTTCAAACAGCTCTTTATTTTTCTAGAGGAACAAAATACTAATATGAACCTGAACATTTGCATAATAGGGCCCCTTTAAGGTTGTAGAGGTGAAAATAATATGCACGAGTCAAACAATTGTTTCTTTTCCATAGATATATCGCAATAATAACGTTGTTGTGATTCTTTAGGCCACCATAATTGTGTGGTTTAGTGATGTGTCGGTCGCGAACTACTGCTGTTTTGTTAGGGCCTTTTCTTTAAATATAATTTTAAAATGTCGATACTTTTTTAAAATGTCTATGCTTAAGTTTTTATAGGTGTTGCTATCTGCTTTGTGTAGCGTGGTTCTACAAGCAAGTCAGTGCATTCATTGGGTGGTATCAGAGAGTTACAAGGGTCTGTAAATGCAATGAAAACAATTGGCCACAGCAAATCATTTATATTAAACATGTCATTTTTACTTTTGAATACTTCAGTACAAAGGATGTATTGAATAACTTAAGTGATATATGTGTACACATATAAATCATTCATTAGTCAAAACAGGGCTACATTTGATTTAATTATAAAAGGTATAATATGTGGTAAACTGAAGAGCCGTTTGGGAGCCGAAAGAGCCGGCTCACCAAGAAGAGCCGGAATTCCCATCACTATAGTTAAAATATGATATTATGACAGCTCTACGGTTTCACCTGTCAAATTAGGGAAAACACATGTTGTGAACAATGTCTTGTTTCTATTCATTTCATTTAAGTACTGTCAGTCCTGCACAACCCTGCGAATATTTTTGCACGTTTGTATACAAAGCTTTTAATATCTGGACAGCTCTCCACTTTTCGTAACAATAATGCACATAGTTAATTTTATTCAGAGTTTTTCTTTTCATATTATACTATATTTTTTGTTGTTTTTCTTACAATGTATCTTCTTTAACTGTGTTTATGTCTCCACCATATACAATAAACCTGCTTCTGATTCTGATGCAGAAACAGGTGTGCCCATAAGCCCTGGTCTCCCCTGAAGACAGCACCATCCTCTGACCTGAAAGGTGTTGTATCTGACATAAAGCTAAGCTAGCCAGGCAGCATTAGCAGAACATATGTGTGTATGATAAACGTCATGCATGTATGCAGGGCGCACGTCACGTGATTACCTCCTGGTTGTAGCTCTGCAGAGCCGTCAGAGCTGAGTCCTGCTCTCCGGTCTCCATTTGGTCTATGATGCTATTTAAATCCATCTTCATCGCCATGACGCTAGCAGCAGCCTCCTCCTGGTCTCAGAGCAGTGTGTGTGTGTCTCACAGAGTGTTCAGGACCAGCTGACTGCAGGAGGATGGATCCCGGGAACCGGACAGAAGCGATTAACGGACAGGCTTAGTGTAAACCGAGCGCTGCGTTCAGGTGTCTCAGGGAAACACGGAAGAAGCTAATCTTATAAACGGATTGGCATATTGGTTGGAAATGTAGTTGATTTTAGCTTCAGAGGGCATCTCCAATGTATTCATTTTACATTTAAATAATAATGTAAATAAGTTGTTTACTACATTATGTAATATACGCCTAAACCCCGCACCTTACCCTTGTGCTTTAAACCTTATTCATATGTATACAACTTGTCTGTACCCTGCTTCACATAATGCAACAACTCTGACACGTGTAGGCCTACTGTATGCAAATATACTGCAAAGTGCAACCTCATGCACTTTACTTTTCCTTGTATTGTGCATGCTGGATTACACATCCACCGTGTTTTCTTCCTGTATGTTCCTGCCTGTGTACATGACATAAACTGCTCATAACCAATTGCCCCTTGCGGGATTAATACAGTTGTTGATTGAATGATTGACATAACCGAGTAACCTCTTGTACAAATCTATGAAATGATAGTTAATACCTGAGTAGGAAGGCCTTCAAACCTATGGTTTAAACAATAGGGTCAAGTTAAAAGTACAATACAATGACACATATGTATGTCCCAATAGTGTGCAAACAGTACTGCATGCAATACTTGCAGCTGAAATACAAGCTAAAAGTACATTTAAAAAAAGTGTGTTCCTAATAATTCCTTTTTTCTTAATTTCTTTTTACAATTCTCTGGTCCATTTCTTAATCATGCATCCTGTTAATATATAGATTTCTGCATACTGGCACTCAAAAATACGTTTTAAACAGTCTGCAGCAAACTAAGCTAATTCCTGATTTGTTTAGTGTTAGGCTATATATAATGTTGTTTGTGTAGGAGCTGGCAGAATCATTTACATGGTGGTTTTCTTTATTATTTGTCATTGTCGGAATAAACAGATCATCTTTAATTTGATCCCAGTGTTGCAGCATCACCAACACGATACAGAAGCACCTGTTACTATGTTCAAATGTTTTTCATTTTTGTAAAGCACTTTGAATTGCCTTGTGTTGAAAGGTGCTATATATAAACTTACCTCGCCTATAGCTCGCTGTGATACTTGAATATAGGACAGAATTAGCATTAATGCTATGACTAAAACATGTACTTGACCTAGTATGGCAAATTATAATGCAGAGCTGTCACAATATTACATTGTAACCACACAATTGTGGTTCCCAAAATGACCACTATCACGTTATTACTGCTGGGGCCAATCTTAGGTCATCCCTTAAACATCAAGTGTGCTGAGGCTTAAGGGGAATGTGAAAGTATTACAGCTGCCTGTAATGTACATGCACATGTCAGTGTAATAACTGTGTTTGACTTCCTTCCTCTTGCTACTTTGGAAGTGAAATAGCACCAGTACTCCTAAGCCAACTGAGGGATGTTCTCTCAGTTATCATTATCAATAAAAATAATAATTGTGAATTTAACAAATAATTCTGTGTGCCGCCTTATCACACAATGTGTTCATCATAACAAATAACTTGGATAAGAAGAGAGACGGATTCAGCTGAAAAAAGTGTTAATTAATATTGTAGCAGACTAAAAAGGCTTAAATAGTAAAATTAGGTATCATATATGTTGTGTTGAAGACTATGGATTGTTGTATTTTCCCAACAGCAATACACCCTGACGGTAATGACACTAATGTTATGGTGGTAGGCAGCATTTTATTTATTTATTTAAATGGAATATTTTTACCTTCAGTAAAAGGGGCGTTTCTTGGAGAACGATGGGCGTAATCGTACTGGGAGAGTACGTTTGATTTGTAATACCGAACAAACGTGCGAGCGGGGTTAACGTTGACATTACTGAAATTTCCCCCATATTTTTTTTATGACTGATGACATCATCTAATTTGATTGTATTCACCTCTTCTGTGACCACAAGCATTTTACTTAAAATACACATCTAATGAAACCGTTTAAACTCCACTCTTCCGGGCCACATAATACTTACTTCGATTGAGTGACGCATTATTGTGGCACGCTCTTTAACCAATCACATTTCACGGCCTGGTTTGAGAGATGAGATAACCACCAATAGCGTTGCTGCGGCAGTTTGAGTGACAGAGGCTTTAGCTGTAGTGGGGGAAGGGGTCGCTAAAGTTGACGGAACCGCCATCTTGAAAAGTGCCCTCCGATGATCTACCTTTTCGCGCCTGTCAGAATCAGTTTTAAACGCTTTATTTTCCTTGCTGGAATTTCGTGTTTTGCTAGTTTTCGTTTTGTTAAGGCCTGGGACTGACGGCAAGATAAGCTACATGCTGGAGACTCGCTGTTTACCGTTGTCTATCGGTAGGTACACTTGCCAGCCCATGCACTTGGTTGGTGCTGAAGAGACGATTAGCCAGCAGTCTTAGATAGCCGGCTAACGTTAGCTGGCTAGCAAGAAGCATACTTGGCCATCTTTACACTGTGCTGTCAGACACTCTGGTATACCTTTAGCTATGAAAGGGGTAACCTTAACGTTGCATGTCTCTGTTTTATTGTATCTTGAAACCATAGCCTTATTTATTGGCCAAGTTGTCAGCCAATTAGCATTTGTGTCATAGCTCACTGATACCGGTTAACTCGACGTAACGTTAGCTCCTAACGTAAGTTTGATCCTGATTTAAGTTGGCCAGGTTAGCTAACAATAGCTATCGAGAGCTAGTGACGTTAGCTAGGTTGCCTGAGCCGGTGCGTTAGCGGTGGTCTGTTTTGGGCCCTTGTATGTAAATGCACTGCGGTACCGCAAACGCAAATAACGTTAGCCAGTGGTACCTTGTATGTATGAGCTAGGTAATATTCGGAAATATCAGAATGTGTTTACCTAACGTTTCATGTTTAGACGGAATTCAAGCTGTTTCTGTCGTCGTTCGGTTTAACCAACGTTTACTGTGTAGCGTTAACGTTATAACAGGGCCGTCATGTTTTTTTCAGGAACGGCCACTTTGCGTGCATTTGGTGGAAAGCTGGAAAATGGTGTTATTTCTTCCGGTATCCATCTCAAACAAAACTACGTCTCAACGGGTTTATTCTGTTTGATCGAAACTGGAAATGACTGAATCTCATAATTATGTATTAGGCTGAAGCAGCTCTGTGTATTTAAGAAAGGAACAAGCTGTTGTTGTTTTTTTGGGATCTTGACAGTCAATGGTTACGTTATATGCTGACTGTCAGTAGCTAATTAGTGTCGAGATCAATTTTGTTTAGGTCTCGTGACAGTGGCTGGTGGACTGTGACATCCCATAATGCATAGCTGCAAACGAGTGTTTCCCACAGGGTTTTATTGCTTTTACCCTTTGGTTTATGGCTCACTTTTATTTGGAGTCTTGAGACTGTACAATTATGGATGTATTGTATTGTTGCATTGCTTGTGGTGGACAGCTGTTGCTGATGTAATTCAAAGAGAAACTCAACCTTAATCTGAGACATCACGAATGTACCTTATATATCATGGCAATCATCTGTTATGTTTATTGAACCTATTTCCTTCGGTCTTTTCATTGTTCTTCAATATAAGTAGGAATGTGGTTTATGTAACAGTGCCCACTTTACCCCTCCTTAACGTGAATGCTTTCCACACTAGATCACATTGTTCACACATATACAAGAAAATCAATCATGGGAAAACAATATTCAAGGCATTTGAGTAGGTCTACACTAATTGTAATATCCTCTTCGGTAATACATGTGTTTAGCTGCATCTGGCCTGTAATTAGGTGTTACACTAACACCAACTTATTATAACATTCAGATTTGATATATAATGCTGCATACTAGTCAAAACATGTTTAATGTATTGGTGCATTTCGGCTGGTGGCACATTGAAAGGAATATTGAGTAGTATTAGAGATCTCAAAGTTTGACGAATTGAACAGAGATGCTTAGCTGTACATATCACTTTTTAGACCTATGTATCTCAGTTTCAGTTGTTCTTCAGTTATTGCAATCCTTTCTAAGATATGAATAATGACCTCTTTTAACCTTAAGCATTACACATTCCCTGTCCTGTATATAAATATCTAGCTGTGTTACCTGGAATTTACTTAAACCCTAACTCTCATTCATTACGGAATCTGTGCTTGGTGTGAAATATTTTTCTCGTGATCCTAGTGGTTGTTGACTTGTGTTGCAGCTGAAAAATATGTATATATCAAATATACTTGACTTGATAAATAGTATAATGTATTGTAGCAGAAGAATGTATTTCAGAAGATTCTCACCACTCTAAAATGTTTTTGGATTATTTTAATATCCCTTAAAATGTCCCACCTAGACCATATTTTAGTAGTACAAAAATCAGGATTTTGATTAATCAATTCAAGTAAAGTACTTCACTGAAAGGGCTTTAAAGGAGTGTGCTTAGATGTATTTTATTAACCAATAGAGTACCTTGCTTGATCATGTTGCTTTGTTACAAAGGTTCAACTTTTTTTTTTAAGCCGGATGCTGTGTTTTGCCAGGAGCCCCTGAGTTTGCGCCCATGCCAACCATATGATAGGCTGGCTCTATTCGGATACATAAGAGAGCAAAGTTCTCAAGTCAGTTTGAAAGGGACCTTTTAAGGCACAATGAGTAGGGTTATTAATTAAAGAAACGTTGCATAGACTCAAATAATACGGAAACAAGCGTTTTCTTTTCATTTGTTGTGACCATGACATTTTTGTCCCTTTCTCTGACTGCTCTGCCTTCAGGTGTACCTCTTCTGCCAAGGCTCTGTTTTGCCCTGGATCATACTAATCACTGTCGTATGAGTTGGAAGCTCCACTAGTTCTCCCGTCTGGACACAAATGTTAGCCTGTTAGCTAGAAAGTGGCTAGTGTGGTTGAGCAGGAGCCAATGTTGTGACTGTTGTGTTTACAACTGCAAAACAAATCCTTTCCATTGTGTCTTTCCAAAAAGCAATAACATGCTCCTTGGTGCTATTATTCAAGCAGCCACAAATTGGTTACTATTATTGGTCACAGGCAGTACTAGAAGTGTTGTTTATCCAATGTGATGAAGCTACATCTCTTCATATTGCACTTTTTTCACGAGAACCGGGCATTGTTTAACGGTTGAAACAGAATTCTGCCAGTCCGGTTGTATGTGAAAATGATTTGAGTCTTTGTTATTAATCAGTAATTAGTGAAATTGCCATATTATCCCCCATCCCAAAAGCAGTGGAACATTGCTTTAACAATTCTTCATCTGCTTCTGTCTTCTCAGGTGTGTGCTGTTGAACTGCTGTATGTGTGCTTTGTCAGTCAGTCCATCACCGCTCTCTGCCTGCCTGTCCATCCGGCTCGCCTGGAATGGGCCACAACTCCCAAAGACTAGAACACACCTCTTTTTAACCTGAGCTCCGCCGTCTGGACTCCCAGGTAGGCACAAGTGCTGTTACACGATCCTTCAAATAATCCTGATTGTCGTCTATTATGCCTCTGGTTTTGACCTTGTTTTGATTTAAATGACGGGTCTCTTTTTTGTTTTTTATAGCCAACATGTTTTGGAAATTTGACCTCCACACCACATCCCACATTGACACGCTGTTGGAGAAGGAGGATGTGACGCTGACAGAGGTGATGGACGAGGACGATGTCCTGCAGGAGTGCAAGGCCCAGAACCACAAGCTGGTTGACTTCCTGCTGAGACCACAGTGCATGGAAGACCTGGTGACCTTCATCACACAGGAACCCGATACTGATGTTGAGGAGAAAGTTAAATACAAGTAAGAGAAAATGCTGCAAAGGATAAGGGGATCAAAACTAATGACCTGGTTTGTTTCCTTACAAGAAAGCTAGTCAATTTAGCAAACCCCTATGTGGACTCTTTCTGCTTATTGCATTCATTAGTTTAGCCATTATTTGTACATGTGCTGTTGATAGTGCTGAAAACAGAAGGAAAGAATGTCTTCTAATGAAATGATACAGGGTAAAACCTTCCTATGGATCACTGCAGTGTACAATTAGAGCATTTGAACAAACGCAGCATTTGCTGGGATGTGGTGGTCATTTTAGCCCCCGCTGCAAAAGCTCCTGTTTCCTTTGGCTGTTTAGTCAATAGGTCCAGTCACTTAGTAGCAGCAGGAACTCAACGACTAACTCAAATCCCATAGTTCCTATTTTTGTTCCTGCATCCCCTTTTTGCATTCTCTCCTGCTGTTCCACCACGTCTGAAGACCACAAAGCATGTGTTTCTTGGTTGCATTGAGAAACTACAAAACAACGTATCTAGAGAACTATGAAAATTACATAATTGAGTGATGTTACTGACTTTTCTCTGTTATTTTCTCTCTCGCATGTAAGGGTTGGGGGTTCAGTGATAAGCAGATAGGCAGGCTTTACTTCAGTGCATTACATGCTAGTAAATATAAACACCATACGAGTTGAACAAACATATGTTTAAGAGGAAATTAAGAACACTTTTTCTGGCGCCACACTTGTGGGCTTGCCATTCTTATTAATCTTCCCAGTGCCGAGACAAAACAAAAACTATGAATGTATCGACCTACGCAGCATCAAGCTGTCTAGAAAAAGTGCTGTGTAGTTGTTAAGGAACCAATAAGCAGAACCGTAAGTCTCCGGTTCTTGGCATTTTAAGTTAGTTTCTCAACCCTACAGTGATTGTGAGTGATGCTCCCAGAGCAGCACCACTTAACACTTCTTTGCATCTACCAGCAGTTTTATACAGCCTTCAGAGTATTTGAAATCTTTTGCCTCTGTCATTAAGAATCAATAATATGGATATCTTATCCAGTGCAAACCTTGCCCCGAAGGAATCAATCAATTTGATTTGAGAGCAATATAAAGCCGCAGTTCCACAGCATGGCAAGGCTCTCCCCGTCTCCACTCACTTTTGGTACCAGGTTCTTTTCCGAATGTAGTCTCTTTGCCGAAACTGCCATTTCAACCTGAGACCCACTAAATCTGGCAACCAAAAACAGGGCACTTCCACGTCCGCTGTATGTCATAGATTAGACGGCTGGCTTTCTTAAAATAATCTTAGTTGAGTGAAAAACACTGAATGTCTGAAGGCAAGTTATTGAGGATTCTCTAGACCAACCAGTGGTCTGCAGTGTTTTAGCATCACCTCTTAGTACTGGCCCATTCGGCTTTGAAACTCTGCTGAGGTGGTACTAAAGAAAGTGTCAGGTACTATTCACAGCCTTTACAATGGGAACAAAATAAGAGTTATTTGAGTAGAAGCATACCATGCAGTAGAAGAGCGGCCTAAGTATCAGCTTTTGTTCTCCTACAGGTATCCCAACATCTCTTGTGAGCTGCTTACGTCAGATGTGGGACAGATCAACGACAGACTGGGAGAAGATGAAAAACTGCTGATGAAACTCTACAGCTTCCTCCAGAATGAGCCGCCGCTGAACCCGCTCCTGGCCAGCTTTTTCTCCAAGGTGCTGTCCATTCTCATAGGACGCAAACCTGAACAGGTACGTTGGGGAGAAGCGGGTATCTAAAGATGCAAATCCTCATCAGATAAGTTGATGAGTTTTCCAGAATCCATTTGAAAATGCATTCATTACTGTGATCTGCTCACATGCTCTGATTTTCCTAATTTATAGATAGTGGATTTTCTGCGGAAGCGGGAGGACTTTGTAGACCTGATGATCAAACACATCGGGACATCTGCCATCATGGACCTGCTGCTCAGAATGCTCACCTGCATCGAACCACAACAGCTCCGGCAGGACGTTCTCAATGTGAGTAGTGGGATAACACTAGATAATATCCCGGATCAAATCACACATTACACAGTTAGAATGGAACCATCCCAAACTTCAAGAACAAGCCAGTACATTGAATTGTAGTCATTGTAATCTGGCATAGATGTTGAGGACAAGTGTCTTTTCTACTTCAACTGGTCCAAAGGGTGTTGAGACTTTCTCTGTATTTGCTTCTGAATGAAAAACAATAGATGCTATTCAGATAACGTTGAAGACATATTTTAAACCAGCCACCTTTTTAAAAAAAGAAAGTGTTTCTAAATATAATTGTAATATTCATTTTTGAAGACAGAGACTTTTTGGTTACAAATTCAGCACAATTGTGTATCTATCTTTCTAGTTGTAGCTCAGTCAGGTGCCCGTATGTGTCGTCTACAATCAAATCTCATTGCACATGCTGACCTGGCAGAATTTAGCAAGGCAAGCATCACGGTACAATACAACATGGGTATCAGACACAACTCAGACGATTTGCATGCACGTAATATGCATTTGTTGGAAGGTTCTTTAACTTCTTGTCAGGGTCTTCCTAAGATATCAAATAAATGGCATGGCACTTGGTAACTGGACATGTGCCAAAAAGGGATAAGTCAGAGTGATGATGTTTTGTTAATTATGTCTACACAGAATCTTTTGAATTTCTATGATAAGGCAATTATGAATTTGAAAACATACTTAACATTTGAGGTCTTGTTCGCCTCGTCTCCTCCTCATCTGACATCTGTGCTCTCTGTCTTCTCTCAGTGGCTGAATGAGGAGAAGGTGATTCAGAGACTGGTGGACATGGTACAACCTTCTCAAGATGAGGATGTGAGTTTCTCACACACTTCACTGTTTCTTCCAATTGCCACCTGGACATTTAAGTCCCCTGGTCTCTTTATGAATCATTGAACAATTTGTTTTGTTTTAATGTAACTGAAAACACAACTTGGAGTAGTTCATAATAGAGGATTTGCAGATCTACATTTAAGAATCATTTTTCCAAAAAGGATTTGTATATCTATTTTCCTCTTAATTTGTTTATACATTTCTATTATAATCAGGATAAATTCTGATGGTTATTTTCAAATGTGTTCAGGAATATTGGGTCCTTGATTGGATGTATTTACATTCTACCCCCCCCACACAATCGTTCTTGTTTCAGAGGCACTCCAATGCCTCGCAGTCTCTGTGTGAGATCATCAGACTGAGCAGAGACCAGATGTTCCAGGTCCAGGGCTCCTCAGATCCAGACCCACTCCTGGCAACACTTGAAAAGTAAGCATGTGTTCAGCTACACAAACTCTTATAGGGGTGCCTGGAATGCACTTACCTTCATTTTCCTAGGTTCTTACTGTACCAGTGATTTTCATATACGTCACTTGTTGGCTTTTGTTTATTTGGTACGGGGTAACAAAATAAACATGGTGGCATGGGCTATTGTCCTTTTTGCATAGTATGCTATTTACCAGTGACTAGTGCTGCGTACCTGGACTCACATTCAGGTTCAGGTCCGGACTTATAAGTCTGGACCTGAACCCATGGCTTGTGTCAAGTTGTGTGAGTAACTAAAGTGAACTTATTGTGAGCTAATTATCAATTGAAAATAAACTCATAATCAAGTCAAATTCAAACTCGTCAGGTTTATTGTGCTCCCTTCCAACTTGTGTCTACATTTCTCTACAAAGTACAAATGTAAAAAAACCACTTTTTGCCTCTTAGTCTACAAATGACTTATGACAGCATCTACAGTGAACTACTACACAGTTCAAACATTTATTTCACCAAACAAAGGAGTTAGCTACACTACCAAATATCCAATATGGCGACCAGCAGCCCACGCTGTCCACTATGTCTAAGCCAATCACATCGCTAGCTTCCCTTGACGTCACACAGATCTCGCGAGCAGTTGCGATATTTTGCGAGACTTCGTGAGTTCAGTAATGGCCGCCATATCAGAAGCCGACACGATGTTTTTCGTCTTTTCTCAGCGCACATTTCTCGATCTATGGAAGGTTTTAGATGGTTTAGAACAAAAAGGAGAATATACGTAAGTGCTAGTTTTTTTGTGAGTCCAAGTACCGGTTCCCGACGTTCCGGTTTTAACCGGACTTGAACCAAAACTTTTTACAAGTCCAGTACCGGTTCGGCGTACCGGTTCGGCACTGCCAGTGACTGATGCTTGCTTTCCTTCACCTTCCTCTCTTTCCTCCTCAGGCAGGAGACGGTGGAGCAGCTGTTGTCCAACATCTTTGAGAAGGAGAAGAATGAGTCTGCAATCGTCAGTGTTATCCAGATCCTCCTCACATTGTTTGAAACGAGGAGACCAGCGTACGTCCTGTGGCCTCTGCCATTCTTCATGATGTTTAGTGTATATAGTAGAGGATTGGGTGCTGGACAATATGACGTGACAAATAGATTATTGTACATCAGATAAGATCTACTTTCTTGATCCCAAATTGAGAAATAGTTTTGCTATAGCAGCATGTAAAAAAGGCATTGCACCTGAATAAAAGTATACATAAAACATTAACAAAAGAAAGATATACATCTATAGAGTATCTCTAGAGTAAAACAAATATTCAGAATAAGTTCAAACTTACTATAATAAACTAACCTGATATTAAGAATGGAACTATGCAGGATATATACATTATGAAGTTTGCTAAGTAGTTGCTGTTTTTCACTTAAGCTGCAATACTACCTTCCTAACCCATAACTGTTGTTCTTGTCCTACTTTAGGCACAGTCCAAAATAGTAAGGGTATAACCTTCTATGTTATAGGTTTGAGGGTCATATGGATTGCCCCCCAGGGATGTCCCACCCTTCATTCTCAGTCAACCACAGCATCCTGGAAGCTGTGAGACCCCGACTCAAAGACTTTCACCAGCTGCTACTGGAACCCCCAAAGGTAAAAACACTGCTTTAACATAAAACAATATATTGTATATTAAAGTGACAAGTCTGCATGGAACTATTTCATCCAAGTTGAGTCCAACCCGTTTTGAGCTGTTCTCAGTTTAGTTTGGATTAGTAAGTTTCTTAGAAAACAGCTGAAGATGACGGATGTTCCAGTCACAGAATCACTGTGTGACATGGACTCTTTACCACACACGTATTCAGGCATTGCTGTCGATGGATCCCAGTCACTTGTGTATATATTGAGCAGAGTTTTTGATCTCCACCAACAGGCGAATCTGATGAAGACAACGTGGGGGGTGCTGGACCCCCCTGTGGGCAACACCAGGCTCAACGTGGTCAGACTGGTGGCCAGTCTGCTGCAGAGCAACACTCACAGCATTAACACAGAACTCATTAACCTCAACACACTGGGAATAATACTAGTGAGTAATATCTACTTGAAGCCAGATTGTTTTCACACTGCCAACCCTACAAGCTCATTACAGTAACATGCTTTACAACTTAGGCTGAGCTCGTCTCTTTATCTTTGGGAAACATTTCATTGTTTTTTCTATTTTATGTTGAAGTTACAGATTATGAATATAACGCTGCCATTTTATAATGCTGCAATTATCTGATTTCCTAAAAAGTGTTCTTCCATGGGAGACATTAACGTCTGGCAAGTTTATAAGAAATTGATTGAAGATTGTGTTACTAGGGTTACGGTTTCTTTAGTTTATGTTCTGTTTTTATTTCAACTTTTTAGCCCATATAAAATAAGGCCTACATAACTCACAATATAGTCTAAACCGTTAACTGCCCACATAAAGCATAGAACCTTCTGCCCTCAGTTGCTATGCTCCAATGCTAACCAACATCTTATCCAATCCTCAATCTTCTTGAAACATTTAATATGCTGTCTTAGCTTATTTTTAGGTTGTAGCTACAGATTGTGAATATAAGGCTGCCATTTGATAATGCTGCAATAAAGTGTTCTTGGAATACAATGAAGTGAGTTTTATCATTAAGGAGTACTGATGTTTTCTTTAGTACTCTGATAAAGTTCAGTGACAAATCTATTCTGATGTTCCTATTGTATTTATTATTTTGTTTTGCTCCACAGGATATGTATTTCAAATACATCTGGAACAACTTCCTCCACATTCAAGTGGAGATCTGTACAGCCATGATTCTGGCTATGCCCCCCGCCCCCACCGAGACCCAGCCAGACACAGAGCAGGACACTGCAAGGGAGAGCATCCTCATCAAACACGTAAGATTGGAACAATTTCATCAAATAAAATAACTTTGATTATGTTTGTTGTACTGAAAGACACAAGTCACTATGAACTACTACATTGTGGCCACGCTGAATTGTTTGTAGTAGAACCTTTATTTAGCCAGGAAAATCAATTAAGAACAAATAGTTATTTTCAATGATGACCTGACGGGAGGCAAAAGGCTTCCTGAGGGCCGGGGGTTGGGAGGAAGGAAATAAAAAGACAGACTCCGGGCACTACAGAACCCAGGAGACAACACCATGACACAGAGCAGGGCATAGCTGTTCAACATATAACATCTCTAAAACAATACTGCTGGGGTTCAATCAGTCATTCAAATGATATAGAACATTCATTCATGTATTTACTTTGTTTGTGTTTTTCTTCCACCAGCTGTTTCAAAAGTGCCAGTTTATACAGAGAATTGTAGAAGCCTGGAGCTCCAACGAGAAAGATCAGTGAGTATTCTGCTCTGTGAAAACACGAGTCACTCTGTCAGAGTCTAACAATGCCTTATTCATTTGCTGCAGTCGAAAAGAATACACCATGATCCCTACTATGGTTCTATTAGTGTGTGTATACCCTGGGTTGGGAGGGTTACTTTGTAAATGTAATCAGTTACTGATTACTGATTACATGGCTCTGAAAGTAATCCGAATACAGTTACAGTTACGTGTCTTAAAAAAAGTAACGTAATCAGATTACTTTTAGATTACTTTTGGATTACTTTCTTTTTCCATCACAGATGGGTATGTTTTGGTGAACAGGAGACACAAAAAGCAAAAGGAAACTGAACGTGTTTTTACTGTTTTAATGGCTTATCAAGAGCACAACTGAAACATAACATCTGAAACGATGTAACAACATAATACACTTGTTGGGGATGCAGCTTGGGATGTGAGGAGTGAGGGACACGGCTTAGAACGGGCGTGTCGCCTTCTGTCCTGCCAGTGTTGGCAGGACATGAATTAAAATGTCAAACTCGGACTTCATTTTAAGGACATTACGGCCAGGGGTTTAGAGCTATATTTGTTTAAGCACCGGATTGGCAAAACAGGAGAGTGTGTGCACCAGTCTGCCTTGATCTATGAATTCATGTCTGGGACTCTCACAGTATCTGCTGCCCGCAGCTGTTTTATAGAAGAAAACCTCCTTCACTTCATGAAATCTCTGCAGCACCAGGAGGCAGCGGGAGGGTTAACTCAGCCTCTGAGAAGAGGAGCGTGCAGTGCCTTTCACGCACCGCCTTTGCTGTGTTTACCTGTGTTGATGTGTTTTAACCACACACACCTCTACAAACACACACATACACGATTTTAATGCAGACTTTTTTTCCTCCATGTTTCGTTGTTATTGTTTCACTGAGCGGACCCGCACATTTTTTTCAAACGCTCCCCTTTTTGGTCCATCTGCGGCGGTAATAGGTTTTGTGGGCTGTGATGATTCGGCTGTACCTTTAGTAATGAATATTAAATGTTGTGAGGAAATCTTTCCATCAATAATTCCAATAAGCAATCCAAAATGTATTCACTTCAGGTTTACGAAAGTAACTGTAATCAGATTACTCGTTTTTCAAATGTAACGCGAGCTGAATACAGTTACTTGATTGTTGTATTCTGATTACGTAACGCCGTTACATGTATTCCGTTACAACCCAACCCTGTGTATATATTATATACAGAGTGGTCAGACTAATGACTCGTAATGATATGTCCTCATATCTGGTGTGTTCATTGGTGTTATAGGGCAGAAGGTGGTCGTCGACGAGGATACATGGGCCACCTCACCAGAATAGCCAACTCTATAGTTCATAACTGTGACAAAGGCCCTAACGGTCCACAGATACAACAGCTCATCTCTGGTAAGGACTTGTTTATCGATCTCCACATTTGTATGTGTTGTTCTCATGTCGCATCACTTAGCTCTCTGTTCATCTCACTTTCCTTTATGTAATTGCATCTGCAATGGACCTCAAGGCACCATTCTTTAACATTTCTGTTAAATATACAGTATATGAAGATGCAGTGTATATATATATATAAACTGTGTGTGTGTGTCAGAGCTGCCAGCAGAAGACCGAGACAAATGGGAGGCCTTTATTTCTGGGCAGCTGTCTGACACAAACAAGAGAAACACTGTGGACCTGGTGAGTAACTACAGGAACATCATCACTGATGTCAAGCTCTAATGTTTACTAAACTACATGTTAGTTGTACAATGCAGTTATTTAGACGATGAACCAGGTGTTATTCTGTTGTCTCTGTACTCCAGTGCATTGGATATGAAATCAAATAGTAACTGAATAATTAAGTTCTTATTTTTCCAGATCAGTTTTTGAGCTTAACTTTATACAATTTTATATATTCATAAAGATTTAGACTAGGGTTGCCAGAAACTGACCATGATCAAAATCGATTATTCGGCAGCCCTGGCGAATAATAATCGATTAATCGAAAGGAAAAAAAACTCAGACAAAAGGAATTCCGTTGTTTTCTTTACTGGAACATGTTTAACAGTACAAACAAAATAAACGACAAATAAACCAACATCAACATGATGTTGGTTTATTTTTTGTTATTTTCTAAAGTGCCTGCCATTGCCTTTATTTGGAGATGCGCTATGCGCGCACAATGTATTTATTGCAATGCTGCCATTATTAAATACAGGCTACAGCTTGTATTAATAATAGCAGCATTGCAATAAATATTATTATAGCAATTTATTTATTGCAATGCTATTATTAATACAGGCTGTAGCCTGTATTAATAATAGCATTGCAATAAATAAATTGTGCGCGCATCTTCAAATAAAGGCAATGGCAGGCACTTTAGACAACAACAAAAAATAAACCACCATCATGTAGCCTGTATTAATAATAGCAGCATTGAAATACATTCAATAATTAGCCTATTGTTCCACGAGGAGGAACTCTTTTTACCTGCCGCTTTGTTCATCTTTAGTCGCACGTGTGAGGGGGGGTTGGGGGCGGGGGCGGTGTGTAGCGTGCTGCAGCAGCAGTCTGCTCTGCACGCAGGCTTCCTCCAAGTTTACAGTAAAACAAACTGGTGGTGTGACCAATGGCCATTTACAATTGTTAATACTATTACTATTATTAGCATTAGTCTATATTTTGGTTGAAACTAAGCCAGAAAAAAAAAAAAAAAACATAAATAATAATAAAAAAATATATAAATAAAATCGATTTTTAAAAATAATATTCGATTATAGGAGACTGTAACGATTAATCGAATAATCGCTGGCATCCCTAATTTAGACTAGGGTGCACTGCGCCAGAGCACATGCAAAAATCTAGATGGATCAATTTGATCACACAGCTCTGCCTGATCAGTGTGGAATGCCCGTTGATGCGGTCAATATATCTTTCTTCTTTTCTTGCTTACATTTTTTCTTTAGGTGAATACACACCACATCCATTCTTCCAGTGATGATGAGGTGGACTTTAAAGACAGCGGCTTTCACCAGGACTCTTCTCTACAACAAGTAAGATCTACACACACACACACACACAGCAGGCCCATAGCCACACACATCTAATTTATCTACCAATAGATGTAAGTCTTTCTATCACCGTCTTTAACAGAAGCTCTGTTGATTCGAGGTAAATCCTTAAAGCATATTCTCTTAACAGCATTAGGAAAAGTGCCATACAAATCCCATGTATTATTATTAACAGTTCTGATAGGACAAAATGACGTTTAAACCAGTGTGCATAGACAGGGAAACAGTTATCAGCTTTCCCTAAATGACCAAAAGTGCTAATGAATCATGATTACATTTTTTAAGTGAGACGTCTTACAATGGCTACTTGTATAACTTGTAATCTCTGTAAAGAAAGCATATTATGCAACATGGGTTGAGTGATTCAACTCAAAAAATCTGGCTTCTAATACAATCCAAATATGTATTTGTGTTATTGAACAAAACTAACTAATTTAACAAAAACTAGAATGACAGGAATCCTTGTCTTTGGTTTCTTGTTGAGGTGTTTTGGGACTTTTGCAGTGCAGATCTTCAAATATTGAAATGTCTACACCTCATGCTCTATAACACTAAATGCAAATCCCCTATTCCCTACCAGAAAATGTCAATCTGTTGAAATGCAAATAATTCAATCTAAATGTCCCTTTAAATTCAAATATGTTGTGACTATGGCATGGGTCTTGCAAAATCTACTACTAACTACTAATGTTATTTAGGAAATTTGACTTCAATTAATATTCTCTGATGTGTTTTTAAATGAATCTTAAAGCATTTTGGCATCTGACTATAAATGCATGTTTGTGCTTTTTTTTAGCCATTAACGTGTCTAGTGTACTTGTTAAACATTATTTTGTTTCTACATCTTAGTATGTGCATTTGCTATTTTCTGTACTGCAAGTAATGACCAGCTGTGTATAGATCCAAGACTATATCATTATCGTTGGTCCTGGGTTTTGCCAGGCCTTTTCTGATTATCAGATGCAACAAATGACGTCCAATTTTATTGAGCAGTTCGGCTTCAATGACGAAGAGTTTGCTGATCAGGACGATGTTGTGGAGTGAGTACTCATCCTGCATGACTGGAACTGCTGTCTTCATATTACTGTGTAACAATCAAGGGACAGGGCACATAAGCACATAACAAAGTTGGTGGTGGGGGGCATTCTTTCATTTCATAATGTCACATTAATATGCTCTTCACTTTATTTGAAAACCCTGTTTTTAATGATCTGCCTCATTGTTATGACATGAGCTTTTTCTTTGATTCCTATTCAAGGTTCATGTTGACATCAAAAAAAGTAATGCCACTTGCCGTTCAGCAAAATTCTGATTGGAACAAAAATAACCTTGACAGTAACAAATGTCCCAATCAAAAAAACAGCTACTGCCATTACGTCTTTAAAAAGGCTGCCATAATAAATACATAATATGGCTTGAAAAGAAGAAACTATTATATTCAGCTTTATGTTTTTCTGTGCTCTCCCTTTCTATATTTCTTAGGGCAAACTGGTTCTGCAACTGTTGGGGGGGCTGTGGGAGATGGCTGTTAGTCGATCATTGATTTCAAATGTTTGCTTCATTTGAAACAGTTTGTTATTTGAAGTAGAGCTTTTCTACATAGATGTTTGGATTAGCATACTCAGGCTAGGTGGGTGAAACAAGAGTCCACCAATACAAACGTTCAGCACAATCCATTCCTCAAGTCCTCACAATCATTCTTCTACCTTTTTTAAATAGGTTTACAAGAGAGCATCTAAAAAAAAATAGATGGCACATTTTCATTTAGTTGTTGTGCCTTACACGTGGATCTCCAATGGATTCAAGCATGCATTTCTAAATATGGAAGGTCTGGAGGTTTGATCCTGTTTAAAAGACTTCCATCAATAGTCATTACTAGTTCAACATTAAACTGGTAACAATAAACGGCTGAAATGGTAACATTGAACACAGCAGCATTTCCTGCGGTCTCAAATTCTCTGTCAGTTCTATATACTTCTATTTCATATAAGAATGACATGACTGTTAATATTGTGAGGGTGAAGAGTGTTATTTGCTGCACTGTTGTATTGGTGTCTCTAAAATGCTCCCATTCTAGTAGGGGCTCAGGGTCTGGTGTTCCTTCTATCTGTTCAGGCGAAATGCCGGGAAGGTATCGACCTGGCATTTCAAGGTCAACTTCAAGTCAAAGGCCTAAACTCATGTGCATTGGACACTGACTGTGCTTTAAATCAAACTTGCCTTGTTATCTTTAATGCACGATGGACGGTAAAGCGTGTATGAGAAGATTAAATTAGGATACTATTATAGTCCCTCCTATATGTGCCATATGAAAAGCGGGGAAGAGTAATAAGGTGATGAGATTGAGGAATTCCTGTGTGCTTTGTAGGCTGGTATAAGATGAGGAGTATGGAGATTGTTGGGTTCATGTGAGGGTTGGACTTAATGTATATCTAATGTGACTCAGTCTTCATCACCTATGTTAGTGCTGTTCATTGCAGTCTCATTGGCCTGATGGAATTGACTCTATCTAACATGGCATCCTACATTTGAACTGTGCTTGGTATGCTTTATAAATCAGGACTTTTCTGATGAGAAGGTCAATGTAATGCTTTCCGTCACTGAGGTAGTCTCACAATGTTTTAAGCCTTGCTCAGCACAAAATCTGCACGCATAGGGAAACTGCTAGTGCGGCTCAGTCAAATGTGAAGAGAAATATACTGTACCTTGCCACCTTGTTAATTCAGAAATAGTTCCATCGAGTAACTCCTCTTAAACCCATAATATAGAGGCTCAGGAACTGCCTTCAAAACCTACGTTGGATTTCTTTGTTCATGTGTGATGTGATAGCATTGCATTTCCACAAGAAAATGGTGTGCATCCTGATCAAACTTCAGTTATAGATCCCACTGACAATGAGGCTCGAACTTGTGTGTCGAGTTTATGTTTGTATGTGTTAAAACATTTTTATATCAACGAATGAGGGCTTCTCCATAAATGTTCTTAATTAGATCCAGGATAACGACATTGCAGGATACAACACTTAGTTAAAGTTATGTAAAAAATACTGACCAGGATGAACACCAAAAAGTCTCAATTCTTTCTTTCAAAGAGAACAAATTGTCAGCAAGATAATGTATAATGAAAATCTTTGTTATAATCTATATCCACCTTTTAGTAAGTATGACAGGATGTTGGAAGGTGTATCATTCACCGTTAGAAGTGTCCCTCTGTTTCCAGGTTTTGTGCTAAGCTTTGAGCTGCTATGTTTCTTATCAGATGAAGATGATCATTTACTAATATGTTGGACTTCCCTTCAAATAATAGCCTTTTTGGATACAGACTTGCCATTTGGGAAACATTGCCATCTACTAAGCAATGTGAAAAATGGCTTTACTGAAGAAAAAAAAAACCATGGCCTGTTTATAACTATTTTCTTTTCTTTGACCAGTTTACAAAAAACATTCATATAAAGAATGAAAGTGGCTATGAAAAGCGCAGTGTATATGTTACTATGATCATGAAGGGTTAAAGCTGTGTGCTACTGCCTGTGTGTTGCCATATATGTGGATGCCTAACTAAACTCTGTTCTCTTTAACATTGCAGTATTCCGTTTGATAGAATATCAGACATCAATTTTTCACTGAATACAAATGAAAGTGTAAGTACTTTGATTATTAATCTTGAATTCATACGTAGTCAATCACTGAGGAGATCATAACATGATATTGGAACAAATGAAAATGTGTTATATTATCATATGGCATGTTTTTTTTATCTCACTGTTAACATTCATTTAGAAGCAGATGCCACAAAGCGACATGATGCAAAGTGAAATTCTTAACGAATAAAATATAAGGATTAGTTTTAAAACTAAAATTGCCATAGCCTGTATTTGAACCAAGAGTGAAGCATAGGCTGATTCTATCAAAAGCTCTACCACTGATGCAAGACCTAAGCTTATATGCCATAAGTTATTTCCATAGATTTTCCTGATACCTGAGGTATCCACATTAATGCTTCTCGGCTGAGTGACTTTTGTTCTGCAGGGTCCAGCCCTAGTTTGTGAACTTTTGATATGACATATTTTTTCTAAATATATCGCCCCTGTGTGTTTTCCCCAGGCAAATATAGCTTTGTTTGAGGCACGCTGTAAGGAGAAAATCCAGCAGTTTGAAGACGCTGGTTCAGACGAGGAGGATATCTGGGATGAAAAAGATGTCACCTTTGCACCAGAGGCACAGAGACGCCCCAGGTCAGCAACGCACTCACACACAGGATTGCTCTTTGTAATGTCGTACAGAATAAACGTTGATACATTTGAACACCTTCAGATCATTCTTCTACTAAAATGACAATTCTTTTTTCTTTTTTTTTAACTGTACCTGGAATATTAACATTATTCATTAGTCATTGGCTAATTCAGCTTTTTTTATAATCAATCAATTATGATCATTGAAAGATGCCAACAACCGTTCACTGTATGTACCTCGTTTAACCCTAATGGTGCGTTCACACTGGACACGATGCGATTTTTGGGCGAGGCGTGATTACATGTAAAGTCAATGCAAAGACGCAGATGGGTGCGAATTCGATTGAAGAAAAAAATAATGTAACTCTCGCGATTGTCGCGGCCCCGCGAGAGTAAAATGTTTTCAACTCGAGCGTCAACTTCGCGTGACGCATTCTCGCGTTAGCCAATCAGCGGTGAGGATCTCAGCCTGACGTTGAATCAGAAAACCCAGCCATTAGCTGTTAGCACACAGAGCTCACAGCTCCTCATATCTGTTCAGAAACTTGAGAAAAGTTCTACATTTACAAACCACAGTCCCTCGTGAAGATGAAGTTGATTGTCCATTAAAAATAACTCCTGCTCCGTCTGTCTCAGGAGCTCGGGCAGCACGGACAGCGAGGAAAGTACAGACTCAGAGGAGGAGGATGTGAAGAGAGATCCGTTCGAAGCTGCCAACCCCAGCACCGACGACAGAATGGAAGTCGACACAGGTTGGTAAACACAACACTACTACACAACAACCCTAATAGCATATCAATAACTATAAAGAACCCAAAATGTTACCTGGATGTAGATTTCAGTTAAGGGTTTTGCACACAGTGCTGATGATGCGGGTTATGGAAAGGCTATATGCTGCATATCAATGCAAGAAGAACTAGTGCTCGGGTTAATACTTACATTTTCAGACTTATATTTATATTATTATATTATAAATTACATTTTATAGGGCCAGTGTGGACGGCCAACTTTGATGACATCCCCATGGACACAGGTACATCCACTGCTCCAGCCACCAGCCCTAACAACCCTGCTGCCTCCTCTCCTTTGGCCTCCCCCTCCTCTTCCACAGAAGACCTCCCTGAGACCTCATGGAGCTCCCCCCCTCCCGCCACCTCCAACGCTGAAACAGGCTGGGCCGATTTCTCCAACTTCACCCCCGTCAGGTAGGAAGTTCACACAGATCTGCAGCGCTTCAGGAGAACGGCGCATCGCTTTGGCTGTGATCGTCTTTGCACCTGAAAGAGTGACTCGTAAATAAAACATCCTCTCTTGCAGCCCCAAAGACCCTCTGAGGTGCAACTCTCCTGTTGCTATGGAAACCAGCCTAGAGACAATGGACCCTCTGGGAGTCAATGCACCCACACAGTCTGAAGGTGAGATGTGTGCAGGAATGAGTTCTTTACCTGAAAATGAGTTAGCATTTTAGCACTTCTGGGCTCCCTTATCTCAAAGTTAAGGTTTTTTTATTGGGTTTTTGATAAAATGCCCTAATTATGGTTTATGGTGCGTACATGCTTACAATATTTTTATATTTAGTTTACAACATAAAATACTCATTGATGGAGCCATATACGGACTTATATTATTTAATAGTTATCCATTTATTTTATATGTTTTTTGTTTATAGTAAATCTTCCTTTTAATTCTAGTATTGTCCAAGTTGATCAAACAAGTTGTTTTATGCTTTTGTTTTGAGAAGGCTGTTTTTGGGGCACTGGGGGATGGGAGACCTGGTGATTATACATTTGGGAAACAGGTGGTGTTGGAGAGTGCACCCCGGTAGGCCTATGGTTTTTACTATCGGGTAAACACGAGGAAAGAGCACAGACAAGAACATATTGTACTCGTATCTAGGGCTGCTCAATTAATCGTATTTTAATTGCAATTATGATTATGGCTTGCAACGATTACGAAAACTTAATCGAAATAAAATGATTTCTTTATTATTATTACTTTTTTTATTACCAATAAATTGATGTTTTCAAAGTAAATGGATAATCGTTTTTAATCGTGATATCAATTATTGACCCAAATAATCGAGATTATGATTTTTGCCATAATCGAGCAGCCCTACTTGTATATAGTGGCATCAATCAAATATATTGAACAAAAATAACTTTAGCCTGGACCTTATTAAACCCATGCGTAATATTAGCTAACAAGGGTCTCAATCATGTTTTGGTTTGTTTTTGGAGGACTGAATACCTCCTGTAGGTTGTTGAGTGTTAAGATCTGACATCTATTCTTTTCTTTCCTAACACGCCAGATTATGATGGCTGGTTGGGTAACAATGAGGCTTCCCCCTCCTCCAACTCACCTAAGCATTGTGGGAAATCTAAAGCAGAAGAGGAAACGGCCTCCTGTGAGCAGCGCAGCATCACAGAGACGGTCATCAACGGCTCCATGAAAGAAACGGTCAGCCTCACTGTGGACGCCAAGACTGAGACTGCCGTTTTCAAGAGGTTTGCCACACACACACACACACACACACACACACACACACACACACACACACACACACACACACACACACACACACACACACACACTACTCAGCTCTCTGTGCTAGCTGGCCCTAGGCCACCAAAACACATCTAATGGTTGTTTTTAAAATAGGTAACTTGCATTTTAATAATCTTTTCACTACTGCTGTTGGTCTGCTGCAAGTATTTAATTTGCTCTTGTAGACAAAATCACCAAAGTGACAGTGGAGTGACTTTGTGCCAGATAGAGAAGCTGTTTAAAAGAAAGAATTCTCAGTATCATAAATCAACATCCAACAAGTTTGTTTTCTTCCTTCTGTCTGTGCTCTCAAAACTAAAAATGCAACACAAAAAGTTTCTAGGTCATAATTAGATAGATTAAAAACCTAAGCTTGAGCTGGGCTGAAATAGGGCCCTCAGACTTATTCAGCGTTCTTACATACTGAGCTCATTCTTTCACTGGCTAATAATATATGTTGGTTATAGCTCACATAACGGATTGGAAAGTAATGCTCTACAGTTAATATATGTTTTGCCCTTGAAATTATATTCTACAATATTATGAGTACCTTTTTCAGAATCAAAAACTCTAAATGTAGGGCTAAATACTAGGAGCATAACTGTAAACAGAAGTCCTGGTTTGGTCCATACCAGGTTTAGCAGTCAAGGTCTGTTGTAAGTTTGGTATATGGGAGGAAACGTTAATTTTCAAACAGAGAATACAGCAAGTGTGAAACGCAGAGAAAATCCTACTGCTGGTGACTAAGGCTTTATTTTCCCACTGGCAACATTGGAATAAAAGAACATTTCCATTTCCAACCCTTTAATACACTAAACACTCACAAAAACCACCTGTCACAAAAGAGATTCATACTGAAAAGCATTTATTATATTATGAAACGGACAATGCTATCATATACATATCATATACAAAAGTACGTAGCCGTCTGAACGTAGCCGTCTGAACGTAGCCGTCTGAACGTAGCCGTCTGAACGTAGCCGTCTGAACGTAGCCGTCTGAACGTAGCCGTCTGAACGTAGCCATCAGAACGTAGCCATCTGAACGTAGCCGTCTGAACGTAGCCGTCTGAACGTAGCCGTCTGAACGTAGCCGTCTGAACGTAGCCGTCAGAACGTAGCCGTCTGAACGTAGCCGTCTGAACGTAGCCGTCTGAACGTAGCCGTCTGAACGTAGCCGTCTGAACGTAGCCGTCTGAACGTAGCCGTCTGAACGTAGCCGTCTGAACGTAGCCGTCAGAACGTAGCCGTCTGAACGTAGCCGTCTGAACGTAGCCGTCTGAACGTAGCCATCTGAACGTAGCCCTCCGTGATGGCTTTTCCTGTGTAAAGAAATCTCCACCATGTTCAGCTTAAAGATGAAATGGGTTCTTCTTTGCTTCATCCTTCCAAGTTGCATCAATCCTGCTGACAAAAAAAGAAACCACAAGCAAAACAATAAGGAGTAGTGTTTCAATTAGTTTACCCTTTGCAATTTTTAAACGATAATAACAATTTAAAAAAGTATGTTTTGTGCTGTATTAAGATGTGAACATGGAGCTCAGAACAGCCACCATCAAACCATGCTAGTCTTTCTCTGTTGATATTGTAGCTGTTATATCATGAGCGGACACGATGGGTTTAATTGGTCCCGCTGTGGTGTGACTCACACGGAAAGCCTGTTGTGCTAACCTGAGCTAATTATGCTAGCGACGTTCCACTAAAAGTGTTTAGGGCACAAGTTTTACTTTGAGCTTTAGTTCCCCATCACTTGCGTTTTTTGTTGCAGGACAAGTTTGAACAATGTTTTCTTTCCAGAAAATATTCAAATGAAATCCACAGTAATTGACCTCTTACATCCTCCTCTGTCCTGTTTCATCTCTCACACACACACACACACGCACGCACGCACGCACGCACACACACACATACACGTACACACACACACGTACACACACACACACACACACTGCTCCCAGAGTCCTCTGTCCTTCTGTCTCCTTGTTGATGCTGCATTATATTGTCTATCTGTCTGAGTAAATAACAACTGTCTGATGAACTGAGCGACTCTTACAACCTGAGCTTCCCCTCCTCTCTCTTGCTGTGCGTTGTGGGTGTGGTCTTCTTCAGAGTTTTGAAATCTTATCGGTATGTACAGCCAATCAGAGATCAGCCTGCAGCCGTGATGTAGTCTTGTTGTCACGTCAACCACCAACTTTTCTTTCCCAATTTTGATCTTCTTTGGTTTCAGCTCCTTGTTTGTTTATTTCATTATCTCCATTCTGCATGCGTTTCTACCCAAGGTGTTGTCTCAGTGCAGTATTTTACGTTTAGGGTTGCCTCCTTATGTGCTTTGGGTCATCGATCTTAAGATTGCGAGTTAAGACTCAAACGGGCAATTTGAATGTGTAACTAAGTCCACTACGCACTAAACTCACAATACAGTTTACTCAAAACTTTTTTTGAACACAACACTCTACATACAGCAAGCATTAAATCATAAAAAAAGCAAAATATTCCTACAACAATTATTTATATTTGTTTATATACTTATATTTTAAGTAGGAAGGCATTTTTACTTGTACTAATTTGAATTAAATACAAAAATGTAATGTGCACGGAACATGTTATTTCATTAAATGAAATCAGTGTTTAATAATGTATCATATCGATAGCCTTCTTTTATAGGTTAATGTCATTTTAGTTGCACACATTTTCAAAAACAAACTGGGATGTAGACACCTGAATAACCACACAATATATTTCCTGGCTGATGTACAGTGTGTGGCAATCCTGTTATTACTTAAACATCCAAAGTCTGACGTTGAGCTCAAAAGTATAGGCATCAAAATACCAAAAGTAATATTACTCGTAATACAGATTGGCCCATTTCAGAATAATGTACAATATGTGTTTTGATTATAATTTAGTATGTGTTTAATCACAGCTGGTAAAGGAGCAGCTAGTTTGAATGACTTTGTATACTGCAGGGTAGCTTGTGAATTTACTCCAGGTGGAACTAAAGTCTGATTCAACACTTGATTATATTTCACATCATTACTCTTAAGTCTGCAAAGTAACTTAAGGCATTACATCAATAAAGTGGAGCAAAAGTATGTAATTGACCTCTGAATTGTAGTGGGGGTGCAGTACAAAGTAGTACAATTTCCTGAAACATGTACTTGAGTAAATGTGCTTAGTTACTTTACATAACTCTATGAATTAAAAAGAAAAGATGGTATTGCGCTGGAAAATGTAAAGATAATCAGAGCCATTCAATTGAACATATTGTCATTAGCAGCATGACCGCTTGTTTTGTTTTTTATATGAACACATGCTCATCAATGATGTGGCACCTAAAGTATAAGAATATAAATGGATGTCTCTGTGCGTTGATTGAGGCCTCATCAAGATTATTGGTGGTTCTCCGAGACGAAGCAAGACTGACGGCTGTCAATTTTGGTCCAATCAGAGTCCAAATGAGTTTGTAGGCATGCCTACTGTTTCCTGGCTCTGTAACTAAACGATAAACAGAGTTTTGTCGCAAAACAATCCAAACTTTCTCCATTTGCTGTACATTTTGAAGCTTTTCCCACATACTATTCACACTTCCTCATTTCAACACGTCCATCCTTTTTGTTTTAGTGCGCTCTGTCAGTCAGTTGAGCATGCATCACTGTTCACGTCTCACTCTGTTCTGTGTGTTTCTGTGGGGAAGGTGGGTGCTTCGATTCCCCTCACATGGTATTGATGTTCATCTGTGTGTTTGTGTGTATCTGTGTGTTCCAGTGATGAAGAGAAGAGTGCTTCTCCAGAGAAATACTCAGTAGGGGAGTGTGTGGATTCGGAGAGAACGGGCGTGAACAGCTCAGCCACAGCCAGCTGTCCCAAAACAGGGTCAGAACCAACACTACATGTTCACTAAACATGAGTTTTCAGTGTCTAACAAAGTTTGATGCTGTCGCATTTTATATTCCCTGTAACTGTATCCATCATATTGACACCCTAATTCAGCTAGCAGCATTGTTCAGTTCATTTTAAAACATGATTGGAAATCAAATAAAAGCACAATCAAAGTAGAACAATTAATTGGGAAGTACAATATTGTAGGAAAGCACGTAGTAGGTAGAAAAGCAAAAAGTGCTTAAATGTTAAGTTATTTTATGTACTTGTGATCATTGATCTGCTTCAGTTTTTGTTAGTGAAATGATTCATAGATTATGAACAACACGTTGTAAAAGTCCAAACCCCACACAAGTACACAGGCTTTGTCCACAGAAACAGACACAGCACCTACAGCAGAGTTGGCCATCACAATAAAAAAAATCTAAATTTGCATCATTTAGTAAAAGTCCTGTAATTAGTTGCTTTGTAGATCCTGTGACATTCAAGCGGGCATGTTCTATATTAAGAGTTTAAGAGCAACTCCTGCATCTTGTTTTAATACATCTATTTGGACTGCTTTTGATATGGTTCTATCACTAGGTATATGACTGGACTAAAATCATGTTATATGATTCTTAACTTTTCTCTCTCCTCCTGTGTTCCCTGTAAGCAGTGAGAAGCTACCAAACGGTCCTCTGGAGGAAATGTCGGCCAGCGAGGAGGCCAAGTAAGTCTGACTGCTTTCTACTGTCTGTACCATTCTAACAAGGAACCACTCAAAAGTACTTGCAAGGATTCATTTATAAACAAGATGTAAATCATGATTCAACTTTAAATCATGATGCATTAGTGTTGCACGGTGTACCGATATTTGAAAGGTACCGCGATACCCTGCCGTTTCATTAGTATCGGTACTTTAAGAATGACGGGGGAAAGTACTCGGTGAGAAAGCGCCGTTTTAATAAGAGCCGTGTGTGTTCAGTGCTCTGCTTCCACTCCCTGCACTGCAGCCGTGCCTGCAGTCCCTCCACTCTCAAGCACGCTCTAAGTGCCTCCCCTCTCTCGTGCACGCGCTAGCTGCCAGAGCATGTGAGAAAACGAGAAGCATGGCTGCAAGTGGGAGTGCAACTGCCGCTGCGCCTCGGCTTGTTGATAAAAAAGACGCCAGAAGCGAAATTAGGAAGTATTTGAGCTATATCTCTGACAGTGAGGGCAAGCCTACGGACACCACGAGGCCTGTCTGTGAGACATGTTTTAGATCCCTGCAAACCAAGGGAGCCAACACATCAGACTTGGCTAAGCACCCGCCGACCGGAATCCAGAGCTGTTTAAATAATTTAAAGACAGACAGGTTAGCGAATGTGATAGATAACATAATTACATAATGCTCAGCCCATGCTCTCAAATCTAAGTCAAACAAGTGTAATTTATTTTGTGACAAACGAACGTTTTCGTAGTTTGACGAGGCAATTAATGGCAATGATAACTGTCTAATATGGCTATCTTTTTAGCTAACTTACCAATGTGGCTAACATCTGCAATGTACATTTTGTCAATAATTATTTATATTACTGTACTATTACATGTTAATAAAATATAAAGTTAACTATCAAAGAAATCACATAAACTCAAGTATAAAGTTGTAAGAAAACACTTAACCTGTTAAACCCCGAGCCTGTTTTTCAGGTTTCAGGCTCGAAAATGACATTCCCAGAACAAATGACCATATCTTCCCTTCTAAAAGGGTTAAATTAAGAATCTTTTTTCTCAAAGTAATGATAAACCTGTGAGTTGGATGTAGAAAACTCAGATTCAATATAGATGTTTTTTTATTTTAAAGAAAATTCAGATTGAACATGGTAAAAAACTGTAAATTATAGTGTCCGTCCAAAAAATATTTTGTACTTATAGTGAAAACTAACCTTGGATGATGGGTTAGTAGACTAAAAGCTTTAGGAATCCAAAGTACAACATATAATAAGTACCCTGTATCAAGATTGATGCAAAACAAGTTAAATTTGACCTTTTTAGAGAGGTTTAGCAAAAAAAAAACCTCTTCTGGGGCCATTTGGGTGGATTTTCCATATCTCTGGCCCCCCTTGCTGGATTTTGACATGTGACATCTCTTTCTGACCGTCAGAGCCAATGGAATCGAGGGGAACTCCCACATAGTCCTTATTTGGTAATGTGTGTGTGAGAGACTGCCGCATAGCCTAGACCGGAAGCAGCAGCCACTCTGGTGGCTACCATTAGCAGCTAACATTTGCTCTCCGATTTTTACATTAAAATGGAATTATGGATTATAAATTAAATAATTTTTTTATCAGAGACGTTAAAAACCTATGGATTAACAGATTCAGCCGCGTTTTTTCTGGTTTTAATGCCATTGAACACGTCTTTTGATCAGATTGACAGCTACAGTGAGACGATCTCCCTAGAAGCTCCGTAAAGGTACGTGTTGTAATGTCTGTGTTTGCTTCCCCTGTCGTGAGTCCGGATCACTCAGTGATGATACTATATACCTAAATAATCTGTGGAACCTCAGCTTTAATCGGATATCTTGTATGTGCAGCTACGATAAGTAATAAGGGTACTTTTATCTTGAGTTCTGTGCCAATGTCCGTTAGCATTTTTCACTAAGGGGTCATTTAGATACTACTTATGAGACTTGTGTTTTGTTTTGGTAAAAATGGTTTGTACACGACACTGTGTCTCAGGGGATCTTAATATTTAAGAACCTATTAATGTGTTATACCAGATTAACGGAAATAATCTCAGCTAACTGACGATACAAACCATTTTTACCAAAACAAAACACAAGTCTCATAAGAAGCATCTAAATGACCCCTGATCGAAAAATGCTAACCTACTACTGCACCGATAATCACTCATAGCTCCCTTATTACTTATCCTAGGGGCACATCCAACACATCGTTTATCATCGCAAGGAGACACAGAATCTAACGGTGCCCACCTCAACACTGAAAGATACAAACTCGCGACGTTATCAACAAAAACGTACATCAAAACAAGTTGCGCTAGGTATCCCACAACGCTAACATGGCTTACCTTCGTCTTTGTCTGGTCTAAACTGGTCTTCAATGGCATTAAAACGATAAAAAACGATGATGTAGTTAATCCATAGGTTAATCCAATGTGACTGCGTCCCCTTTGAAATGTTCTGATAATCCATAAGCAATAAAACAGCTTTTCCGTTGCTTTATATCAGAGCAGCGATATTTCTCCCCTCTGCTGAAAGCTAGAATGCGCAGAGGCCACCATTTTTTTTTTTTGTTACATGATTGTGTGCGGGACGATTTCCCTTGGATTCTATTGGCTCTGACGGTTAGTAAGATATGTCGCATGTCAAAATCGAACAAGGGGGGCCAGAGATATGGAAAATGGCCTCAGAAGAGGTTTTTTTTGCTAAATCTCTCTAAAAAGGTCAAATTTCACTTGTTTTGCATCAATCTTGATACAGGGTACTTATTATATGTTGTACTTTGGATTCCTAAAGCTTTTAGTCTACTAACCCATCATCCAAGGTTAGTTTTCACTATAAGTACAACATATTTTTTGGACGGACACTATAATTTACAGTTTTTTACCATGTTCAATCTGAATTTTCTTTAAAATAAAAAACATCTATATTGATTCTGACTTTTCTACATCCAACTCACAGGTTTATCATTACTTTGAGAAAAAAGATTATTAGTTTAAACCTTTTTAGAAGGGAAGATATGGTCATTTGTTCTGGGAATGTCATTTTCGAGCCTGAAACCTGAAAAACAGGCTTGGGGCCTCACAGGTTAACAGATAAACTACAATTGTATTGATCATGAAAATAATAAAAGAAAAGTATCGAAAAATAATCGGAATCGCAATTCTTGACTTGTTATCGGTATCGAAACCAAAATGTTGGTATCGTGACAACACTATGATGCATCATACTTTATAACTAGCTTAAAATACAAAATGTAAACCTCTTTTTCAACGTGTGTTACATTTTACATGTTGATCCTTTGAACCAGGGGTGGGGAACCTTTTTCCTCTAAAGGGCCATTTCAAGTTTTACCACATCCTCCGAGGGTCATACAAATTATTGAACTCAACCTCTGCTAAAAAAAAAACTAATATCACAGCTCATTGATTTCGCCTTTCTTTCATGCTGTGCAAAGAAAAAGCAACCTCTTAATCCAGGTATCTTTCTGTTTTCACTGTTTTTATGTTATGCTTTGGAGAGTGTGTAAAAGGCGTACGGACCAAAATGCAGACACTCATAGCAGGTACCTTGAATTCCAGGAATTGAATGAGAACTTAAATGCAACAAACTGAGGAACACTGGATACTGAACTGCACGAAGAGTGAACACAACAGAAACTAACACAGCAGAACCAGGTGAACATCGCAGACAAATCTGACATAAAGTGAAGTGTTTGCCAGTTCAAAACACTGCCATTAAAAAAAAAAGAAAGTGACACCGACGGTCTCGTTTAATATTGAAGACGTGAGATATACCACGTGATGACACGTTATGCTCGTGTTGTGTTCAAGGAACCTGACCTTGGCCAGGAAAAACAGGCAGTCGCTTGTTTAATTCTATTGCGGTCTAGATTTCTTTTTATTGCAGTTGATTTTTTGTGTGTGTTTATACATTAATATAAACACACAAATGGTCTCGCGGACCGTATACGGCCCGGAGGTTCCCCACCCCTGCTTTAAACTCTAATTTAAAATGTGATCCGGTATTGACTTAAAACTCACCATTTTGGAGTTTAAACTTAAAATATTGCTTTTTAGATCTCACAAAATAAATTCCTTGAACAAAGTTTAAGATATACTCAACCAAATTGAGTATTATGTAACTTTTTGATACCATAGCTTTATCAACAACAAATAATTATAACAAAATCTTGAGTCGCATTGCTTTTATCTGTGTAAACCTCCTTTTCTTTTTTAAATCGGATGTTTATGAGCTGCTGGGGTTTTGCAACAGTCGCTGTAAATATACAAAAAATAGCTGGTTCGTCAGGATCGATGCAGACTCCCTGTTGGAGGATTTCATAACTCCTACTTCCACTAGTTTGTTTGGAAAAAGAGCTTAAAGAGGCTAAGGGTTTGGACATCTCTGAGCGGTTGACCAATCGCAACAGAGCCGGTCAGCTAACCAATCAGAGCAGACTGGGCTCTGGTTTCAGACAGAGGGTGAAAAGAGGTGCTGCAGCACAGGCAGTATGAGAAAAATAAAGAGCTTTTTGAACATTTAAAGCATGGAGACATGTCACAGTAGAGACACTAAATACTAATATGAAGCTGGAAATGAACAGAATAGGGCCCCTTTAATGTGGAAAGGGTGTAGGGACCAGATTGGAAGTGTACTTTTAAGCTTTTGTCTGTTATCCTTGTTTGAAACGTCCACCCACTAAGTCTACCTGCTGGTACAAATATACAGTGCATCTGGAAAATATTCATACCCCTTCACTTGTTCCACATTTTGTTATGTTAAAGCCTTATTTCAAAATGGATTAAATTCATTTATTTTCTCAACATTCTACACACAATACCCCATAATGACAACGTTTTAAAAGAATATTTGCAAATTAATTAAAGGTCCTGTGTCATGCTTTTCTGGTTATTACCCGTCCCCTTGTGTGTTATGTAGCTTTTTCTGTATGTAAACGGTCTGCAGAGTCACAAACCCTCAAAGTACACCCTGTAGCGAGTAAAACTCTTAACACAGAAAAGACCTATCTATGCTGCCCCAGAACGCCTCGTTGGACATTTCTCTTTTTCCATTGTTTTCTTCCTGGGTTCTGTGACGTGTGAATACCCAGGTCCAAATGGACCAATCCGCGGAGCTCTTCACACACACACTCAGCCTTATCTTTTCTCAACCTCGCTACTTCGCAGAGTTTCGCTGGCACACACCTTATCTTTTCTCAGCCTCGGCTCCATGGTCGGCTCGCACACGTGTGTGTGCTCAGGCTGAGTTCCGTGGTGTCTCGCTGTCTCGCAGACCCCATGCAGCAACCAGGAAACGACACCAGTAATCCACCTCACACTGTCCGCTCCTCGAGCCCCACTGGGCGGAGCAGCGAGCCCCGCAACGTCCCGCCAACACGGCACCCAGACCCCACGCAGCATTCTCATCTGTTTGTCATTACTGGTGTCATTTTCTGGTTGCTAACAAATGCCATTGTAACACATAATCACAGATCAGAGCACAGTGGGCTCATAGGGAGAGGGGAGGGAGAGGGGGGGGCAGGAGCTCCAACAAGGTGTGTAGGACAGACACATACTATACAGAGATGCTGTATGAGAAACCAATGTGATTTTGGAACATTGAACAATGTAAATCTATTCTAGTAGACCTCAACAATGGAATTATGATCAGTAGAAATGGCCATGTCATGGGACCTTTAAAAACAAAACACTCATATCACATGTACATAAGTATTCACACCCTTTACTCAATACTTTGTTGAAGCACATTTGGCAGCACTTACAGCCTCAAGTCTTCTTGAGTATGATGCTACACGCTTGGCACACCTATCTTTGGGCAGTTTCTCCCATTCTTCTTTGCAGATCGTCTCAAGCTCCATCAGGTTGGATGGGGAGCGTCGGTGCACAGCCATTTTCAGATCTCTCCAGAGATATTCAATCCGGATCAAGTCTGGGCTCTGGCTGGGCCACTCAAGGACATTCACAGACTTGTCCTGAAGCCACTCCTTTGTGATCTTGGCTGTGTGCTTAGGGTCGTTGTCCTGTTGAAAGGTGAACCTTTGCCCCAGTCTGAGGGCCAGAGCGCTCTGGAGCAGGTTTTCATCAATGATCTCCCTGTATGCATTGATCTTTCATCCCCTCGCTGCATTGATCTTTCCCTTTTGATCCTGACTAGTCTCCCAGTTCCTGCTGCTGAAAAACATCCCCATAGCATGAAGCTGCCACCACCATGCTTCACTGTAGGGATGGTGTTGGCCAGGTGATGAGCGGTGCCTGGGTTCCTCCAGACATGATGCTTGGTATTCAGGCCAAATGTGGTTTCATCAGACCAGACAATTTGGTTTCTCATGGTCTGAGAGTCCTCTAGGTGCTCCATGGGGGCTTTCATGTGCCTTTTGCTGAGGAGTGGCTTCCTTCTGGCCTCTCTACCATAAAGGCCTGATTGGTGGAGTGCTGCACAGATGGTTGTCCTTCTGGAAGGTTCTCCCATCTCCACAGAGGAACACTGGAGCTCTGTCAGTGACCATCGGGTTCTTGGTCACCTCTCTGACTAAGGTCCTTCTCCCCGATGCTCAGTTTGGTTTGGGCGGCCAGCTTTAGGAAGAGTCCTGGTGGTTTCAAACATCTTCCATTTGCAAATTATGGAGACCAATGTGCTCGTTGGGACCTTCAATGCTGCAGACATTTTTCTGTACCCTTCCCCAGATCCTGTCTCTGAGGTCTACAGTCAATTCCTTGGACCTCATAACTTGGTTTGTGCTCTGATATGCACTGTCAACGGTGGGACCTCATATAGACAGGTGTGTTCCTTTCCACGTCATGTCCAATCTATTGAATTTACCACAGGTGTAGTCCAGTCAAGTTATAAAAACATCTCAAGGATGATCAGTGGAAACGGGATGCGCCTGAGCTCAGTTTTCAGTGTCAAAGCAAATGGTGTGAATACTTATGTACATGTGATATTTCATTTAATTATTTTTAACACGTTTGCAAAAAAATATTTAAAAACGTTTTCACTTTGTCATTATGGGGTATTGTGTGTGGAATGTTGAGAACAAAAATGAATTTAATCAATTTTGAAATAAGGCTATAACATAACATTTGAAAAAAGTTATGGTATGAATACTTTCCGGATGCACTGTATACCTGAAGCTGTGCTGTTGTGCGTTTTTTTAAATGTTCCAATATTTGACCATTACTTGCACACAATGCTATGTATTCCAATATTTTATTATTAAATGGTTACATATTTCCATCCTTGCGTTTCCCCCAGACTGGACCAGAGTGCCGTGTCCTCAGAGCCATCTGTGAACGGGCCGGCGTGAGGGGGAGCCGAACGCCGGCCAGTGTCCAGCCTGTTCTGCCATGCAGGGCCCCCCCCCCCCTCCTGCCAGCGGTCGGCCACTGCTCAGAGCTGCACCAATCACACGCCCCCACCAGGACCAGCAATACTCCCATTGGCTCAACACTGACGAGACAGAAGACAGGTGTACAGACACACGATGAACTGAAAAGCAAAACGAGAGACATACTCAAAAGGATACAGAATACATTTTTTTCTGCATTTGTTTATATACTATTGTTCTTATGAGGTGATGTGCGACTGATATCTTGCCACTCAAAAATGAAATAGTAATGTTGCTATAGTTAAAGAAATGATTGTATGAATAAAAATATTTTATAAAAAGAAAAATGTATACAGAAACATAAGATGAATTGCCACAGAAACAGGACTAGCTGGTTGGTGTCTCACCCACTCACCCAGCTGTTGTTACTGCGCGTTTCTGTTATCCTGCTAACTGAATACAACAGTTGCTATATTTAAATTCCCACGCACCATTGGTCTGTGTCTCTGAGCAGAGCTGCTCTTCCAATTGAAACACATTTTTAGAAACAGTTTTATTTTGCTGCAGGTATGATTTGTAAATGTTTTTCTCTTGTATTCTTCTCCATTGAGTAAGATTTGTCACGCTTTTTGGTATAATTATTTTTCATTTATTATAGGAGTAAGATAATGGTTGTTTTGTTACCAAGGAGCCATGCCAACACACCTCTCCCCTTCTACAGGCTGCATTCGTGCTAACCGGGTTCCTACCTCGCAGCTACAAGACTAAACGTCGTCACCACGGCAGAAACACAGCTGGAAATCTATTCTTGTTTTCCTAGAACCTCTTTTTTTTTTTAAATCTTTTTTTCTAGACTAGTGGTTCTCAACTGAGAGCTTTGATTTGAGGTAGCTACAGCTTTTAACAGAACTTGGAAGGTGAGGGAAACTTGGCTGTTAAAGGCTTACTTGGCACAAATAAAATAATTTAGCAAATGAAGAAATGACCCGCCTCCTGGAGCTGCTGTAGGTGTAACTCAGTCACTTTAGGATGTTATTAAGAAAACTAAGTTACAATCATACATTTGCTGATATTGTCTATTGATCAAGCTCCAACCAGAGGTGTTTATTCTTAATCTGTGTTCAGACTGACAGCAGCACTGTTAGAAAACGCAGCAGCTACCTCTACAAGCTGCTGTTGAAAATATGATGTTAACCAATCAAATCAGTGTGCACAGTCCTGGTGAAGAAATTAAAGTGAATGGGGAAATTGTTTAAATGCTAGTTGTTGATTGCGGAAGGATAGGATGATAAATTGATCACAATATGATGTGCATTCTTTTATGAGCCTTTACTCGTTACTTTGTCAGCAGTAACTAAAGCAATACCTCCATCAGACCTTGTTTTTGTCTGAGGTATAACCTAGGAAGTTTGACTATTAATGCTATTGTCAGTCTGAATGCATCCTCCACTTTTTTTTCTTTGAATGAACCCCTTTTTTTTTTTTTAAACTCTGCCTTCATGAGGCGGTGGATTTATGAATTTCAAACAAACATAAAAACCAGCCGTGTTAGAGTCCGGACATATTGTAGTTGCTCTGTGTGTTTATGGCCTTTTAGCTAAGGGTTGGTCTTAACCAATCCTCCAGAAATATGTGTAGCTTGTCAGCCGCCAGATGCTTAACTTTATTTTCTTAACATGATAAATAGAGGACCAACTTTTGTGATGGGCCAATTTTTTGTCTACTGATTAAATATTGAACATCTGGATTGGCAGTGCTGATGCTGAATATCCGTCCTCATGGCACTGAGCCTTAAACAGAGCATTGCATCTACCTGCAGCTGCCATTGAAATGGTGTCTTTGCTGCTAGAAAACACACTCCTCTGCAGCCTTCCTCCTTCCCATGGAACCACTTTGATTCCCCTCACCAAATGTTTTTTCTTCATCTTGGCAACAAATGATTCACTATTTCATGATGATGGTACAACCCACTTTTTTGTCAGATTATTAATTAAATGTCATCTTAATTTCTGAAGTTCAGTGGTCTTTCCAGATGGTTTCTTGGGCTTGATTGTCATGACTGAAGTTTATTAGGCCAGTTTCACAATCTTTCTTTAGAGATATGTTGTTAGTACTAAATACAGCACTCTAACTGTCTAATCAAGATATCTGTAATATTGGAGATATTCTGGTCTATCAAATTCTTTAAGCCTGGATGGAATCTGCATTTACATTTAATGTGAAACACGGCATTAGATAGTAATTGAGTGAAAGTGTTGCGTTATTTCTGTGAGGCTTTCCTGCATTGATACTAGCCAGAAATGAACCAGATATTAGGCTTTGGATGTGATGGTGGCCGCAGATCAAGATGTCAATTTCTTTCAGTCATGGAAAACCTGGACAAGGTCAGTATAATGCTTTTTTTCTTTTCATTTGGCCAATAGCTGTGGAGCCTCGACAAAACTTGGAGCTATTTAATTTAAGCAATAATTTCCAAAAAAATGATTGTAAGATTTGTCAGATAAATGATGTCCTTTAAAATTTGTCACGTTAAATCAGTAAGTAAAAAACTATATATATATTAAATATACAAGCTACTAATGCTTATTGTTTTTTATTATCCTTATCTAACAGAATCTTGTCAGTCTGTTGATTTCCTGGACATTTGTTCATGTCATCAACTTCACATTTAGGAGTATTGCAGAGTACCCACTACACTTTAAAAAAAAAAAGAAATATGTAAGTACCTTAACATTTACCTACTAGTCTTAATTTCCACTTACAAGCAAACAAAAAGTTTGATACAAGTATATGCTCAAGTGTCGTCTATGTATATATACTTCAATCTAGAACTATGCCTACTTAATTTTTTTAATGTTTTATACATCATGGGTATTATTCTACATTCAAAGCCAGAAATGTAGTTATGCGTCAGATTCTCAATAAACCCTAAATATATTCCACATGTGTAAAAGCCCACATTATTGATATTCAACTTTTCATTGACCTTCATATGGAACCTATTCCAACTATCACTAATACAAATATTTAAAAAAAACACATTGATATTAAATCCTTATTTCAATTGAAACCTTCCTATTTGAAAGTTATTATTGTTATTGCATTGTGAGTAAGTTAAACGTAAGTGACTATTGTAAGATGGATTTGGTCAATAATTATCCTTTATGTCGTCGTGCACTATGCACCTTATACAGTATCTTAAATACACTTGTAGTTGCATATTACTGTGCCAAATCTTCCGGGGTTTAGTCTGTCAGGCAGCCTACTTGCCATAAACTGCTTACCGAATATTCCTCATTAAGGGTATACTATAACTAACAACTAGTAACTGTCCAACACCTGCAACGTTTTATATACAATCTAATGACCACTGCTTACATTTTGCCCAGGTTAGTGTTTAACATCCGGAAGCGCTGTTACCTGACAGATCCAACTTGGGGGAAGGACATTTTTAGGATGCTATTGCATGATGACGTCAAACAAGTTGTGTTGACGGCTAGCCTGATGCTAACCCGATGCTAGCTAGCCTACTTACGTCAACACAGTCTGGGCAAATCCCCTTACCGACTCTTATGGTTTTACAAGTCATGTGGACATTTGTATTCATGCAGTGTCGACTATCGGTGTGAGACATGCAGGATAAGTATACGGAGATAGACCTTCTTCAGCAAATACTCGGTTTGAATTTAGTGCCGAGGAAGAATGGCACATACCGAGGAAACGACACATCTCTCAACGACTTCTCAGGTGGGCTAATGTTTGGTAGCTTGTTAGCTCTACTCACTGTGTATCAGTGCGAATATGCTGTATAGTGGCGTCTAGTGAATTATTTTAAACGAAAATGGGGGTTAAATTGTGCTTAATTCCGTTTAAATGAATTGTTTTTATAGATGAAGTAAAGTTGTTTCACGCTGGTGTACGTGTTAGCTTAAAGCCTCTTACACACCAAACTGACACCAAAGAATACGTCCCGACGGAACGTCGCCTCACGTCTCCTGCGTGTTGGCCATGTTTCGCACTGGAACACACCGCAAAGACTTCAGCCAACGGCCAAGTTGCACGTAGGAACTGCGCATGCGTGAGTGGCAATAACTCTCCTTACCAGCAGGCGGCGGTAGTGTGTAAGAGGCAACAACCGGAAGACAGACTGCATGATACACCGAGAGAAGAAGAACAGACTGCGTGATATAAACATGGATGTATAATAAGAACTGGATACAGCGTGGGAGGCGGGGCCTCATTCATTCCTATGAGAGTTGCTCAATGGCTCATGATGACAAAATGGCCCAACTTTTGAGAGAGCGAAACGTCACCGATTACCCAGCATGCCTGAGAAGTACCCGTATGTGCACTCATAGAGCATGCGCAACTTTCACACGCCGCCCAAAAGGCTTGTTCACATTAAGCACGTGAATTTGCGTACACGTAACAGCACTGCCGTTCATGACAGCATGGTACTGGATTTATATTAACGAGGCGGCAGTTAGCAGCTAGCGGCTAGCTAGTAAATTATGCTAAGTTGCACATCAATCGTTATGTACTTTTTAGGGATGCACGATAATTATCGGCCCGATAATTATCGGTCCGATATTAGGAATTATGACGTCATCCCGATAAACCCGATACCAGTATTAATAGCCCCGATAATATACAATATATTTTGGTGGATTGGGATGAGGGGCGCTTGTTTTTCACTCGGCTCCTCCCGTTTTGCCAGTACTGTGGTATTAGTGGTTTAGGAAGAGGGGAGTTCTTCACAAATCCAGCGCTCCCTAACTCATGCCTGGCTGTGGCGTAAATGGTGTGCGGCCGTGAAGCCAGGACAGTAAACAAACATGTCGTCGGTGGTATGGGCGTTGGAGCTATGTGCAACTCAAGGCATATGCTCGAACCGGAGCTGCCTGGATGCTGCAATCATGTTGCGCACTATCCGTGCTGAGTGTGCTGACTTTTCGTACAATGTCCCACTGTCTGGCTTCCTGCATAAAGTCAAGTGCTCGGCGCAGTTGTGGCGAATGTTTTCATTTAAGCAGCTCCTTATATCCGTTAGCGCAGCTAGCTAGCACCAGATGCTAACAACAACAATGCACGTAAGGTCTCTCTCTCGCTCGCTCGGGCCACACATACACACACCCTCCCGGTCCTCCAGATGGCCAGTCGGTGCCTGCCGGTGAGCGTGGAAGTGTGGTCTGCCACAAGCGGGCGGCAGGAGCGGGGCTGTCAGCATCAGCTTGTCGATGGTATTTTAAACTCGATGCGCTCTGAAACTACGGGGCGGCCAAGGGAAAAAAATACACATGCGTTAATCGCGTTAAAATAATTAGTGGCGTAAAAATGTTTTTATTATCGGTTATCGGTATCGGTCTTGAGAAGCAGGAAGTTATCGGTTTCAAAAAAACAATATCGTGCATCCCTAGTACTTTTATATTACGCTGACATCAGGATCTAGTGATATCCAAGCAACAGAGCTTCATTTAGCATGATACTTGTGTGGGTTGTACATGAAACCACTTGGTAATATATAACAATTTATATGTTGAAGCCTGTTATGATCAATTGTGAGTTAAAACTTTATCTAAAAAGTAAAGCTGATGATGGATTACTGTGGTGGAGTTAAAATAACAATAGCCTATTTCTTTTTGAAATGTGATGGAGTAAAAGGATAATAACTGTGATTATTCATGTTAAGTAGCCCACAAGTAACTAAAACAATTGCAAGTGCAATAAGAAGCTACAGGAACGTTAATCTATGTCGGTAATATTAACTTTATTTAATACAACATTTACGGTACAAGATTTACATCATACAGCCCATGTAGTATAATATTTTACAAATGATGAATTACAGCAAACATGTGCAATATATCCATTATTACAGCTCCGTGGGCTGGCAGTAAGGCGATATGGTCCGTTGTTATTGTGCATCCATGGGTAAAGAGAAACATGAACGTGCCGGGCGGCGCGGTCCCGTGGGTTAGATGCGCGTTCATAATGCCGAGGGAAATAACTCAGAATAACGTTATTAGCACATTTTTACAACTTGAGGACCGAATGTTTTTAATAAGGGCTATACAAACGTTCATACTGGGTAGTTTATTTAGTTTAAAACAAATTATCCAACGAGTTACAGACCACTCTTTCCCAATGTAAGTCAATGGGAAAAAGTGTTTCCGGGCCCAGCAACCTAAAGGAAGTGTAGTACCGCCGTTTGACCAGCATGAATATTCTCATCAGACTCCGGCGCACTTCCTGGGGGCTTGGATATAAACATGGATGTATAATAAGAACTGGATACAGCGTGGGAGGCGGGGCCTCATTCATTCCTATGAGAGTTACTCATTAGCGCATGATGATAAAATGGCCCAACTTTTGAGAGAGTGAAACGTCACAGATTGCCCGGCATGCCTGAGAAGTACCCGTATGTGCACTCATAGAGCATGCGCAACTTTAACCAAAATGCTCACATCAAGCACGTCAATTTGCGTACACGTAACAGCACCGTGCGTTCATGACAGCATGGTAATGATTTGTTATTATGATGGATTTGATATTAACGAGGCGGCAGTTAGCAGCTAGCGGCTAGCTAGTAATTATGCTAATGTTCTCATCAATCGTTATGTACTGATATTACGCTGTAACAGGATCTAGTGATATCCAACAGAGCTTCATTTAGCATGAAAGAATTATTGCACTGTCAGTCGATTAAAATAGTTAATCGCGATTAATCGCAAATTAATCGCACATTTTTGATCTGTTCTAAATGTACCTTAGAGGAATATTTTTCAAGTTTTTAATACTCTTATCAACATATGAGTGGACAAATATGCTTTATGCCAATGTTTATTATCATTTGAACAATGACAAATATCAAATATTCTCATGAATATTAAACACAACAACCTCTGAACATTACAAATATTCGCCTCAATTCAACCTGGAACCTCTCTCATACAATAATACAATACAGTGACGCGCGTGCGTGCTGGATCGTTGGAGCTATGTGCAACTCAAGGC